CAGAGAGTGCTGGAATCCAGCCCAGACCCCTCCCGGATGGGGCTGAGCACCGGGGATGGTGTATCGGGAGAGCGCGGGCACAGTCCCTGCAGGGAGTGGTCCACCAGGAGCACCGGAGACCGCAGGCAGCTCTGGTGGCCTTCTTCAGGGCCCGGCCCCCCAGAGGCAGAAGGGGCGGGAGGCAGGAACGATGCCTTGGTCTGCGGGCGCTTTCTCCGCTTTCTGGGCTGGCTGGTCTCCTCTGCATCTCTCTCCTTCTGGTCTCCGTCCTGTCCCTGGAGAAGAGAATTCAAAGCCACAGGGGGGTGACTTGGGGTCACATGTGCACAGCTCAGTCTTCAAGGGGGTGCGAGCACCGGCAAGGGCACTGCCCACGGAGCTGGAGGGAAACGTAACACCCAACTCCCCTGTCCGAGCCGGGCTCAGCAAGGGAGCCGAGCGCGGCCACCACGCCCGAGCCAGACCCCGGATTCTAGGCCTGGATGGATGATGCCGGAAGCTTCCTCATGTGCCCACCCCGCAGGGAGAGGCCCGGATACAAAGGGTTTTGGAGATGTATGAGGCCAGCGTCAAGTTGGTACAATGACTGGCACTTAGAGATGGGGCCGGAGATGGAGTGCAACAGTACGACAAAATGAAAAATGACCGCAGCTCCATGAGATGGACAAGTGGATCTATGCACCCCATCGCCCGCTGGAGGGGGCTTCTCCAGGTGGGACCCTCCAGTCCAGGCTGCAATGGCTGATCCCGTGAACTTATATCTCTTACCCACCTCCACACAATCTCCCCTTTTTCTGCCAATCTTACGGCTCCTCATTCCCCAGGTCTCAGCTCTGACCCCCTCCTCCAGGAAGTCCTCCTTGACCTCCTCACGTGGGGTCTCTGGTGTCCCCTCAGTCCCTCTGCTCCCCGTCCCAGCCCAGCCCAGTCTGAGTCCTCACTGCCTAGCATGGGTTCATCTACTCGCATGGACTGGGAGCCCCAGGAGGCCAGGCTGGGGCCATCCCTGTCACCACGGTGTCCCCAGTACTGCCCCCACAGGGCCGGCCCAGAAGGTGAATGAATGAATGTGCAAGCCAAGCTGTTGTAGAGAGAAGATTTTTTATGGTGCTTGGTTTGGGCTCTGCCCATGGCTTCCACTGGCAGGTTGTGCAGGAAGCAGTGGGAAGAAATTGGACCAACCAGCACCCAGCTTGGCTGTGCTCCCCGGGGGCCGGCTCACTGGGCCCAGAGGCATCCCCAGAGGAGCTGTGCTCATGCCGTCTGGGGGCCTCATGGCTCCTGGGAGGGTCTGCGCCTCCACCTCCAGCCTCAGCGCCTGACTCAGAGGCTTGAAAAACTCTGTGCCTGACACCTAAACACAGGAAGAGATGGCAGAGTAAGAGTAACCGTAGGCAGGCGGCAGAGAGGCTGCTCCAGGCTCAAGCGCCGGCCTGCCCCCCAGAGCAGCGCAGCCTGACCCCTGGTCCCTGCCCAGGCTTCCCTGGGAGGGTGCCTCCATCCTGAGACCATGACACCCAGCCACTGACTCCCTCCCCCAAAGCCTGTGAGCGCCCTGCGAGCACAGAACCTACTGCGCGCGCCCCTTCACCTGCTGGTCCTGGTTCCCTCGAGGTGGCAGCCACTGGTCGTTGGGAAAACACGTGTGGCTGGTCAGCCCCTCCTGTGTGTGAAACATCTGGCTGCAGTTCCTGCAGACACACGTGCTCCTTGGCTCTGCCCAGTCTGCAGGGCCTCCGTTTTGCTGGTTACTGTGGAGAGACACGGCAGGGGGAAGAACTGGGGAAGGGGACTCCACCCCTGGATTCTCTGTTTTCTTCTAAGTCTGATCCACTGACAACTCTCGATGAATCCCCAGAAATGGAGACGATACCCCCTTCCTTCATGGCCTGGCGGGCACCTCTTCAGGGCTGAAGCATCCAGAGCTCACTCGCCCAAGGCCAGCACATAAAAGCCCCCAGAGGACTCCCGAGGGGTTGAGCCCCCAGGCCCGGCAGGGAGGGGCTTCTGAACTTACCATCCGCCTGCCGTGCTCTCCTCCTTCACTGGATCGGGGAGCTGGTAGGTATTTCCACCCTGAGGATGAAAACACATCTGAGCCAACATATCAAAAATGAGGCAGATGCAAGGACTACAACTACAAAGTGCTGAGAAGACAACACAGGTGTGGCTCCTTGACCTTGGATTAGGCAGTGCTTTCTTGGATGACACAGAAAGAGAACAAACTGGACTCATCAAAACTTAAAACTTCCCTGCATCAAGGGACACCATCAAGAAAGTAAGAACCCACAGAATGGGAGAAAATCATTACACGTTATGCATCTCATAACGGCCTTGTATGTACAAAACAGAAAGAACTCTTACAGCTCAACAAAAGTCAAATAATCCAGTTGAAAAATGGGCAAAGGATATGAACAGACACCAAATCGAAGAAGACATGAATGGCCGATAAGCACATGAGAAGATGCTCAGCACCACCAGCCGTTAGAGCCTCGTGAGTCCGACCGTGATGGGGCAGCACCTCACACCCACTAGAACGGCCATGGTAAAAAAAAAAAATTGGACAATAGCAAGTGCTGATGAGGCTGTGGAGAAACCGGAGCCCTCGTCCCCCGAGGATGGGGATGTGAAAGGGCGCAACTGCTTTGGAAAAGCCTGGCAGCTTCTCAGATGGTTAAGCACAGAGCTACCCCATGAACTAATTACCCCACCCCTAGGTCATTCCCAAGAGAAATGAAAATGTATGTCCCCACAAAAACTTGTACGAATGTTCACAGAAGCACTATTCACGATGGCCAAGAAGTGGAAACAAGCCAAATGGCCATCAACCGATGAATAAATGAACAAAATGCAATGTATCCACACAATGGAGTATTACTCAGCCATAAAAAGGAGCGAAGCCTGGCATCTGCTTCAACATGAGTGAACTTTGCAAACATTATGCTGAGTGGAAGAAGGCAGACCCAAAAGGCCACAGTGCATGATTTCAACTATATGAATATACTAAAAATCACCAGATGGTATGATTTAAAATGGTCAATTAGATGGCACGTGAATATTAAAGCTATTAAAAAAAAATAGGATGTAGCTGTCGGGTGCTAGACCTGAGCACATCACAAAGAGAAGTGGCTGACCACCTGGGGCCCAGGTCCTCGTGGCCACCACCTGGGCAGGAACCAGGCTAATGCTGCACAAGTGCTGACACATGTAGGCACCCCTGCCCCACAGCCAGAGATGGCATCTCATGCAGGAATACTGAGGGGGAAGGAACTCTACCTTTATATCCTCTGAAGAGTTTGAGGGGCAAACCCAGAAGGAAGAGAAGGGCAAGAGGAAAGCAAGCAGAGAAAACTCAGCGAGGAAAGGCGACACAGGGCGTCCCTGCGACTCTGCAAAGCCTTCATCCTGGCGTTTTTGCGGGGAAGGTTGGTTGGGGGGGGAACGATCTCTTTGAACCTTCACTTCCCCTCTGCAAAACTGGGTCTGAGGATGCACAGGCACTAAATAAAATGGCCGGATGACTCCTTCCACAGGGGGTGACACTCCTCGGGAACATCACTGCCCAGGGTCCCTGGGGCCGCTGGGGTGCCGGGGTAGGGCCCCAGTGAGGGTGGGCAGGGGCAGGCTGTGTTTTTCCCTCCCCACCCCTTCCCTGTCATCTGAGGGCGTGGCCAGGACCGGGCCGGAAGAAGAGATCTCCTGGTGGACCATGCTGCTTACAATAGAGCGCAGGGGGTCTCGGTTGGGCAAAAGAGAGCCTGGGGACCTGGCTTCTGGAGGCACCAGGGACCGCAGGCCATCCGCAGCAGGCTGGCCGGCCACCTCGTGGGCAGGAGAGGAGTCCCCACAGGCTTCTTCCTCAGCGGGGGCCTCCTTCAGGATGCACAAGCCATGCTCGACCTCGTAGTGCCGGCGTAGGGAGAGGTCATGACAGCAGCTCGTGCTGCAGCCCTGCTCCATGCACACGAAGGGCTTGGTCTTCTGGTGGGTGAGCATGTGCCCAGTCCTGCGGTCACACATAAGAAGGGAGTCAGAGGGCACTGGGACTCAGCCTCCCACTGCAGGGTCCCGAGCCTGACTCCCCCCACAGTGCTCCCAAGGGGCAGTGGAGCTCAGAACCACAGTTCAGAGCCTGCACTCAGCCCCCGGCTACAGTCAAAGCATCTGAAAGGGGTGCCCCTCTCCCTCACTGTTAAACAAACCCCTTATCTGAGAGAAAAATCACCAGAAGCCAGGCCTGGATTCTGGGGAGAGTTCCCCAGAATGGGTTCCCAAGGAACACCAGCCCTCCAGAGTGGCTCCCCGAGGATGTGGGCTCAACTGGCAAGTCAGTCCCGATAGAGCAGCATGTGCTTCTTGGAGGTTCAGGGGAGCAAATGTAAAAGCTACATAGCAGGTAGATCGATAGAGGGTCATCTGCTTAACCTGCCCTGTCTCTGAAACATAGTTGCCCACAGAACTGTTTTTTGAAATAGTCCCTCTTAGCGCCCTCAAGAACCAAGTTTTGCAGAATACATTTGAGGAAAAGCTCATTTGGGGAGCATCCTGCCTTTGACAAAGGAGTCTTTCCCCTACCATAGAATTCCTATAAGGAGACAGCTGCCTGAAACCCCCCACAGGAAAAAATGCAATTTACAGATGCCCAATCAGAACTTTCTAGAAAACAGTCAAATGTGCCTCCTATAAAATAAATGAATACAAATATGTCCTATGTTTATGTCATACTTATATCTACATTAATAACATAAACAGATGAGTAAATCACCCTCCGCCTTCCCAACACCCTACTCTGGACAGTTCTAATAATGCGGCACACAGGGCATGTCTGATAAATGACAGAGCCCTTCCCCAAAGGGCGGCTGTGGCCTCCATCGGAGGAGAGTGGCAGAGACCCAATCTCCAGCTCCCCGGTTAATCGGTCTGTGACATGAGCAAATAGCTGCCTTTCCTGTGGGGGTGGGGGGCTTGGCGAGAGGATGAGTGGGATCGGGGGTCAGTCAAAGCCCCGTGGGAAGGCCAGGAGCATATAAAACACAATGGACTGCCTTCTCCCACTTGCCAGTCTCTTGGTTTGAGGAAGTCTGTCTGTCCTTCCTCACTAGCAAGAAAAGATTATCATTTACCAGACATTAGGAACAAAAGGAATTCTGCTCCAGACTCCTAATGGGCTTTCTTTTAAAACCAAGAGTTAAAAAAAAAAAAAAGGAGTTAAAAAAGACAAACAAGAGTTAATGCTCCGTTGCCCCATTCTAGACACAGGTATTTTGGAATCTCTCATGCCCTGTGGAGTCCCGGTACATATAAACACGGCTCATATAAACACGGGTTGGTTCTCCTCAGGCACCTACCACTGTCTCCAAATATTTCTCTATAAAGTTAACCCGATTCCCTCCATGACAGAATTACCTCGGGACGTCCCGTCTGCAAGTCAAGGCTGTGATTTTCTCATTGGTGTGACTTTAGGAGCTCAGAAGGGTGACCTGTTCAGGGCAGTGGCAGACCTGTCCCTGGACACGGAGTCCGCGTCTAAGCACGGGTCACAGGGACCCAACAGGGACAGGGTGTGTCGGGCTCATCTGGGAGGTGATGAGAAACACCTAGGAACACGTCCCCTCCCTCCCAGGCCCCTGCACAGACGTTGGTGACCAGACTCCTACATACAGTTGGTTGTGGTGCTTCAAGGCCTTGCTGCAGATTCCACAAACGTGTTTCTGTTCCTGGCTGTGCGTCAGGTAGTGCTTGCTCCAGGAGCTGGAGCAGCTGAACACCTTCCCTGGAGGCTGCAGTCCAGAAGCGGGCTCTCAGGTGATGTGGGGGTGCCGCTGTCCTTTCCTCGGGCACCCGGAGGTGACCCTGCCTCCTTCGTCAGCCTCTCTAGGCACCTGAAGCTTGCCCAGGCTCAGATCTAAACAAACAGAAGGTGAAAACCCAGGTTAGAGACACCTGGGGACATGGAAGAGCTGGGCTGAAGCGCCCCCGCCTCTTAGAACCGCAGGAGGCTTGCGTGAGAGGCCCGGGAGCCCTTTCTGCACCTCCAGCACCTCCTGCACCTTAACTCGCAGAGAAAACAAGACGTAGACCGGGGAGTGGGGAGAGAAGGGACCCTGGTCTGGCCACGCTGCAGTACAGTGCTCAGTCAGTGGCCCAACTGTGGTCAGTTGTGGCCTGGAAGGATTCTAAGGACCAGGTTGCCGTGGCTGCAGGGGCCTTATGACATCATGGCTCTCTCACAAGGGCGATCCAGAAATACATCATCCAAAACTTACAGAAGTATAAATCCTTTCTCCCAGCCACTTTTACCTTTGGGTTTTTAAAGGAGATAATGTACACTTATATGGGGAGTTAACTGCAGGGGAATTACCCGCAGCATTGCCTTTCCTGTTAGAAACAGCCTGCTACCTGATCAGAGAGCATGTAGGTGACACCGTTATGGTTTAAATGGTGTAGGACATACGCATTTAAGGTAAAACTGTGGAAAACTATCTGATGACATGAAAGGACATTCATGCCTTAATACTGAGAAAAGAGCAGCCTGTTACAAAACAAAATTATCCTAGTCTTTAAAAAAGAAAAATAAATGTTAACAGAGAACAGAGAGAATTGAATAGACTGATAGGGTTATGAGCCAATTTTACTTTATTCTTCTTTGGTACTGGAATATGTCTCCATGCTTTCTGTGTCCCTTGGTAAAGTGAGAAAAGGTATTTTAACAAGTGATGTCACCTGAGGACCAGACTGGGGGTGTGCAGGTGGCAGAGCGGACGTCTTCAAACATCCCGAGGGCCAGCTTGGGAAGGATGGAGCAGATTGCTTCTGTCTCGCAGAGGAATGGGTCCCTGCAGAAGCTCCCATCTGGGACAGAGACAGCTTGGGGACCAGGAAGCACGGGAACCTGACCTCAAATCTCCAAAACCTGAGGCCCTGGGTGCCAGGACTCTGCAGGCTCCCTGCTGGGCTCACAGACACTCAGCAACTGTCCCCGGTGTGCGTGAATCATGGGAGATTTTTCTACCCCTCAGATTGGTCTTCCAGGCGGAGCGCACTGCCTCCTGAGAGGGCAAGTTAGGAAATCACCCTTTATCTGGGACTCTGCAGAGGTGGGGGCCAAGCATCCAACAGGCCAGGTTGTGGGGAGCGGAGGGGGCTCAGCTTTAGGAGCCAGAGTGCTCCGCCTCTGAGCCTGAGACCCAGCGGAGAGTCCCAGCAGCACGGAGCCCGGATGCGGCCTCCAGGCCCGGCCTCTCATCCCGATCTGCCTCTGGCCACTGCCTCCTGTTACTTCACTGTAAGGGGGTTTGTGGTGGGGACTCGATCATAGGAGGAACCTAGTAACCACAGTGTTGCTCATGTGAGTGCAGATTAATACCAAAATAATAAAAAAGGTGGAGCATAACTACTGCCTCCTTCAGTGACTTCCTGCACAGTATGGGGAGGAAGACTGAGCTGAGGGTGGAAAAACCCGACAAGCGTTGCCAGCCAGGTGGCGGAGGCTGACACCAACAGGGTGAAATCATCACATTGACACATGCACCCTTGATAACACGTGATGACAGTGACCCTTCACCTCTATGGCCTTACAGCATAATCATGACAAAAACACACAACTGAGGCACAATCTCCAAAACACCTGACTTGGACATCTCAAAGCCGTCAAGGCAGCCGAAAAAAGGAAAGTCTGAGCAACTGTCAGAGCTGTCAGAAAACAGCATAAAACCTAAATGTGACTTATTCCCACCAGGAGGTTTAAAACATTTTAACAGTAAAGTATTAACAAAGGGCCACGTGGTGGAAGCTGCTCAGGCTGAGAGTTGGGGTGGGAACTGATGAGGGCCTGTTGCTACCTGGCTGAGTTTTTTAAACCTACCAATAAGTTAAGACAAGTGTAAGGAAAAGATGTAACTGGGTTAGACGCCGTCCGGGACACAATGTGAACCTGCAGTACTCAGCCAGTGAGGGGGCAGGGCAGGGGCTCACGTGCCAGGGGATAAATCATTTGCCCCCACTGCCCCAGGGGTGCCCGCTCACCAGCCTCCCAGTCCTGGTCCTGCAAGACCATCACTGAAGCCTCGCTCTGCTGTCCTCTTTGTCTCCGTGTCCACTTACTGGGTTTGGACCAGGGAGTGTGTTTCTCACAGGATTCATGTGAGAGAGTAAACCTCCTGGGGCTCAAGGCTGAAAGGGGTTCCCTGCCAGGCGTAAGTTCTCTGTGAATCTGCTGAGACTGAAGAAAAACAGGGGTGGAAGATTCGGGAGGAGGTCTTTATTCCTCACTGTCCAGTCTCCGTGCCCACTCATCTTTATCTCCCAGTGCTTGCGCCCCCTCTCGCTGTGCTGTGCTCCCCAGCTCTCTCCCCGTGTGCCCCCAAATCCTCCGTTTCCCTGTTGCCAGTTCTGCTTGCCCCTCCCCCTCCCTGCAGGAGCAGCTTCGCGGGTGGGTCCCTGCTGACCGGAGGGCGCCTGACCAATTCTGTACCAGAAAAGGAGCGGTGGAGAGAATTACCGTTTCCCGTCCACCCCATGCCCTGATCAGCAGTGGGGGCCAAGAATTCAACAGGCCAGGTTGTGGGGAGCGGAGGGGGCTCAGCTTTAGGAGCCAGAGTGCTCCGCCTCTGAGCCTGAGACCCAGCGGAGAGTCCCAGCAGCACGGAGCCCGGATGCGGCCTCCAGGCCCGGCCTCTCATCCCGATCTGCCTCTGGCCACTGCCTCCTGTTACTTCACTGTAAGGGGGTTTGTGGTGGGGACTCGATCATAGGAGGAACCTAGTAACCACAGTGTTGCTCATGTGAGTGCAGATTAATACCAAAATAATAAAAAAGGTGGAGCATAACTACTGCCTCCTTCAGTGACTTCCTGCACAGTATGGGGAGGAAGCTGATTATCGCACTGGTGTGCAAACAGGCCCTTATATGCATCCAGGTGGGGATTCTAGTTGAAGACTCCCATTTACCCAACACACCCCATCACATTGTTGGGGGAGCGTTGTGTATGTCCTCTGTCCTTGTCCCTGCTCAGACAAAGAATTGAAGGGCAGAGACAGTAGTGATGCAGAATAAAAGTTTTATTTAAAGTAAGTTAAAGAGAGAAGTGCAGCAGGCAACCTCAGCAAGGAGAGGCGCCCCGAAGGGTTTGGAGAGAGAAAGCTTAAACTGAAAAGGCTACACACTTAGCAAGTGCAGGCAACCTCAGAGAAAGGAGCGCGCCCCGAATGGTTGGGGTTTTCCCCCTTTAAGAATTCTTTAGGAACTTGTCTAAGGGCTGGGGTGCGGAGTTCTTAAGTGTTCTTTAGATACTTAGAGTTAACTCAACACAAGGAAGTTCCTGCTCTGATTTCTCCCTGGGATCCCAGCGTCTGGGGCTGGGAGCACATCAAACAGCTTCTTTCCGAGCCCGCGAGGTGGGATGAGCTGTTCTCTGTTTGCTAAAGAGCAAGTTAAGGATCTTATATTTTTAGCTTCCTGGGTATTATACAGAACTACATAATTAGGGACGGATGGAGAAAAAAAACAGCATATAGGTAAAGGTAAAGATAAAGTAAGCTGGGCCTGGAACAATGTGGACTGGATCACTGATGGAGGAGCCAAGTGGCTGTGGGAAGTTTTGGACTGTTGAAGGGTTTATTTTACACCGGCGGGCTCAGACACCGGCGGGCTCAGAGCCGAGATATCTCCCACGGTCTGAGCCCCGAACAAAGGCAAGGGGAGCAATATGTATCTTTCTGCTTTGCATCTGCAACATTTCTACCTGCAGAGCAAATGAACAGCAGAAGGGAGCCACCTGGGCCAGACTGCTTGCTGTCCTTGCGAGG